ACTCCACCCCCTCCTTCTCCCCCCAACCTCCTCGATACCCGGCAGAAACTATTTTGCTCTTATTTCTAATTTTGTTGAAGAGAGAGTATAACTATAGTGGTTCTTAAGGTCGGAGGGTTGAAAACACCTTCAGGTAAACCTACCTTTCAGCAGCTGCTCTGTCCTTTCCATTTCCCCCATTTCCATGGGCTGAGGACAGCCAGACTTTCTCAGGCACGGTTCCTAAGGTGATCCTAGCAAAAGTAATAGAAAAGACCAGCAAGGAAAAAAAGACAATTTAGATTCTGTTCTCTTATAATACTTAAATAATAACCGGCATATAATTTCACATATGGAAAAATTGAAGACTCTAGAGTTGAGGACTGATATTTTCTGATCTTTGAGATGAAGTATTTCCCAAAGATGATCAGATTTTCAGAGGAAAGGCTGAAATATTTGACTACATAAAAATATAAATCTTCAATGTCAAGCAAAATAAAAGCACTATTGTCAAGTGAGCAATAAGAAAAAAAATTTCAATAATTTGATGAAAATTAATAGCCTAAATACATAGAGAGATCATACAAATAATAAATGCTAAGAACCAGATCGGTTAGTGTACAAAGGACCCAAGTCGACAATCTACAGACATTTCTATTAAAAGAACTTACTTTTTGTCCATCAAATTGGAAAAAAAAAAAATCTGGGCCTGGTGGGGCACACCTGTAGTCTCAGCACTCAGGAGGATGAGGGGTATGTAGAAGTTTAGGAACAGACTGTCCTACTTAGCAGGACCCTGCCTCAAAAACACCAAACAAACAAAGCCTTTCTGATGCTTATACTAACCCTGCTGCAAGTTCAGTGAGGCAGGAGCTCAAGGAGCTCGAGGTGGGGACAGAATTTGCTCTCCCTTCCTGGGAATCAATTTAACCACAGCTGTCCAGAGCTTTCTACTTGGGGTTTAGAATATCGCTTCTGGACTTCAGCCTGAGGACAGGACCTCAGCTGGGACCATAGTTTATACCAAGATATTCATCCTTTGTGCTGCTTTTAAAGAATTGGAAATAACGAATGGTCCTGGGGTAGGAAACGAGCTAAGCTGTGCCCGTGCCCTGGGCTGTGGTCAGTTGTGAGCCACAAGGCTTGTTGTTGGGATGAAGACGCTGGTGAGACAGGGAAGGAAAGAGGCTTGGTTGCAGAGGAGCCTGGAGGGTGGCGATGTGTGCAGGTCTAGCTAGTGATCGAACCCAGGGCCTTGCTCTCACATTCTAGGCAAGGTCTCTACCACTGAGCTGCATCCCAGCCTGGAGCCTGTGTTCTTAAGACACAGAAGGAAAGGCATCAACACGCAGCACCCCGTCTTGGTGTTCTTCCCTCTGCTGTTCGGGTTATCCCTCTGTTCTGCAGTGGCCTTCAAATAGCTGAGCGGCTGGGTACGAAGATGAAAGGTGGGGGTGCAAGGGCCAGCCACGCCACGTGGTTCGAGGCCTGGTCTCTGCCCTGCTCATCTCCTGGCCATAACAGGAAACTGAAGGGATGACTTTGCTTTGCCAGGCCCCCTCCCTGCCCTGGGCCAGACTTCTCCTTGCAGAACAGCCCTACAGACACCACTATTACAGCTCCCACACCCAGCCCCAGCCCCAGCCCCAGCCCCAGTGGGGTCTCCAGAACCCTCCAGAACCTACCTGTCTACATGGCTTGCTCTCGCTGTGCAGTTTTCAGCTGTGCCTCCCAAGGGGCACGGTCCCTGCAAGGCTGTGCATGAGCAATGCCACCTGCAGGCCCTTGTGACATCTCCTGTTCTGTTCTCTACATCTCTGGCAGATTATGACGAGTGTGAGAGGATGGAGGATGACTGTGTGCCAGGGACATCCTGCCGAAACACCTTGGGGTCCTTTACTTGCAGCTGTGAGGGAGGAGCCCCCGACTTCCATGTGGAATATTCTGGAAGACCCTGTGAAGGTAACTGTCTCAGCCTCTTTCTGGAATACCGTCCCTTAATCTGTTCTTTCAGGGATGCTAAAGAGGTTTTGTCCAAATGAAATTAGAGTGTTTTTGTCCCGGACAAGCTTCCTCTGCGTGTGTGTGCATGCATGCATGCGTGTGTGTGGTGTACACATATGCGAGTGCAGGTGGTGTGTGCGCCTGTGGCACATGTGGTCCTTTCTATTCTTGTCCGGTGGAGCAAGGCAGTCACTCACACATGTACACATGACCTCACAGGCCCTGTGGAATGCGCTCTGCTTGAGCAGGAGCAGGAGGTGCAGAGGAGACTAAGTTGGTTCAGTGCAATGAGTGTGGTCACGGAGGGCTTCCTGGCAGAGGTGTCTTGGAGCTGGTTCTCAGGGCTGGCCAAGGTGGCACCTGACAGGGTTGGCAGGGCAGGCAGAGGGTGGTGGTCATGGTAACTGGGCTGGGTCCAGGTATGCAGTTTGGGCTGGCTGAGATTTGGGAATCTTCAGGAGAGGACATCAGAGGGGGAACAGGCTGCCTGGGGTGTGGTCGAGGCAGTGGAGAAGCTATGAGGCACCGGCAGCAGTTTGTGTACGTCTGGAGATGGGGACAGGGAGGCTGCTGAGCACTGGGGGCCCAACTCTGAGGCATAGGAAGGTGAGTCCCAGGACAGCAGGGGACAGGAAAGAGGGTGCAGGGTCTACTGAACCGGGTCTGGGGTCTGCGTCAGTGTGGACGGTTGGGGGCTGTAAGGATGGTGGACTGATCCTCACTCTCTGGAGCACCTGCCTCTTCTGGATGCTGAAATGAAACATGCTTGGGCAGGCAAGGAGCCAGGGCGGGAGTTAGGGGCCAGCCACCTTAGGGCCCCTCCAGGTCTCTGAGGACACACCCCCAGCCCTTGGGGACCCTTGGAGGCCCAGCAGCCTAGTGTGACTAGTATGACTTGAGCAAGCGGGTGTGGCCGTTACATGGGTCAGCATGGTGTCCCCAGCTGTTTGACCTGTCCCTCCAGGGCCAGCCCCAGAGACCCACCCTGTGACTTTGTCACCTCTTACCCTGCAGGTGGCTCTCCTGGAAATGCGACCCTGGCCCCTGGTCCAGAGCATCCCCTAGTCCCAGCAGGAGCTGGGTCTACCCCCATGGCAGGTGCCAGCTCCGAGCCCCCTCGGCTGAACCTGACTGTGGCTGTCAGTGTGCTCTGCGAGATTGAGAAGGTGGGCGTCGCCATCCAGAAGCACTTTCTGCAGCAGGAGGCCATCCCCGAGTCCTCCCTGTACCTGGGGCAGCCTTCCTGCAACGTGAGCGACAGCAACAGCACCCACGTGTTCCTGGCGGCCAGCTGGAGTGAGTGCGGGACTCTTGTGCAGAGCGTAAGTCCTGGCTCAGGATGTACTTGGGCACAGGGGCCGGGACATGGGGGAACCCCAGTCAGAGTCAGTTCACTCTGACTGGGGGAGAGGGAAGGGCAGGCAGGACCTGCACTCCCAGGCCTCCGACTCCAAGCAGGGGACCCCAGGAAAGGAGCTCAGGACGGGTCCAAGTTCTTGTGGGGACCAGCCTGCACTCCAGAATCAGGAGGGAGATGCAGGTCCAGCCCTGCAGGATTCTGGGGTACGCCCGAGTCAGGGTTTGAGGAATCCTCCCTGTGCAGGTGGGGTAGAGAGGCGGGGGTTGGAATGGGTGGGGAAGCCAAGGAGCCATGAGGGAATGTGAGTGTACCTGAGTGTACATATGTGCGCCTGTGTGACCATGTGTCTGAACGCATCCATGTGTGTGTGTATATGCAGGCGCACTAGCTTCCTGCTGCTCTGATGTAAGTGGAGATAATCCACTGAAAGGAGGAAAGATTAATTTTGTCTTGCTTTTCAGAGGTTTCAGTCCATACTGGAGAGCTCCATTGCTTTGGGCCTGTGGCAAAGCAGAATATTCTTTTTTATTCTTTTGGTGAAGAGATTCTTTATTGCTGGGTGGGAGAGGGAGAGAGCAGAGAGAGCAGAGAGAGAGAGAGAGAGAGAGAGAGAGGGGCCGGGGCTTAAATACCCCTCAGTGGGACTCAGCATGATCTGATTGGTTAGGATCTTATGGTTCATGCTGATTGGAGGTTGGGGCAGAAGGAGGATTTAAGCTAGACTTGAGGCTGGACTGTGATCCTGGGAAACGGAGGCTTAAGGGTGCAGTAAGAACTGAAACCTATTGGCACCATTATTGCCAACATTCCTCCCTTTTTGTTTGATAAGGAAGGGGGGCGTTGTGTTCGCTCTGGCTGCTTCAAGCTGGCAAGGGGTGGCGTAGGGGAAGGGAGGGTCAGTTGGCAAACAATGTTGGGGTGGTGAGCCTCATGCTGGCGTACACCCAGGCTCCGAAAATGAAGATTTCCTCTTCCCTGAAGTTGATGAAGGTCCCTTGTAGCCACAGGTCATAAAGAGTCTCGAGCCAATCCTCCACCTCTGCATGGTGGGTATCAGCCAGCTATCCTGGCGTTTTGGAGAGGTTGGTGTCCCTGGAGGTACAACTGGTTAAATTTTTGATTAGCAGTAACAGAAATGCAGTATGATACAAGGGAGGGAGTTTAAGAATAGGAGAGTGAGAACACAGGCATTAGGATGGGTATTGGCCAGGAGAACCACTGTGAAATGTTCTTCCCTAGACAATTTCAAGAGTCCTCCAATTCCCTTCTCCATTTTCTAATTGTTTCTTGAGAGGTGCCACCATTGGGGGACCCATTGAGCTTGACAGTATTGGGTGTCATGAGAATGACCAGATGAGGGCTGGTCCACCGAAGTCCCAATGGAGAGGGTAGAAGATCCTTTTGAAAGCAGAACATTCTGGCGAGAGCACATGGTGGAGCAAAGCTGTTCACCTCATGTCAGTCAGAAAGCAGAGACAGACAGGAAGTGACTACAGTCCCAATACCCCTTCAATGACCTAACTTCCTCTCCCATAGCCCCACTCCTGAAGGCTCCACCACCTCCCAGTAGCACTGCGGTCTGATGACCAGGCCTTTAACACATGGTCCTTTGCGCATGTCTCACATCCACAGTGTAGCAATGTGTGTGAGCATGTGAGCACTCACATGTGTGCACGTGCCTGAGTACATCTATGCATGAGTGCATATTGCAAATGTATGTCCGCTTGTGAATGTGTGTGTGTGCAAATGTGTGTATGTGGGTGCAGGGGTGTTTGTATGTGTTAATGCGTGTGTGTGAATGAGTGTACATGCATGCATGGCTGTCTTACGTGAGTGTGAGTGAAAATGCATGTACTGTGTGCATGAGTCAAGCAAGGTACTGTGTTTGAGTGTGCACGCTGGGCTTCGTGTGTGTCTGTTGTGAGCATGTGTGTGTGCGAGTGTGAGCATGGGCAGGCGTGTTAGTGCGTGTGTGTATGTGTGTGTTGGTGGGGGTGAGAAGCATTAGTCAGAACTATTCTTCTGGAGGCATTGTGGTCCTGTCAGACGTGTTCCTGATTTTAGGGTCTGTGAGGGACCTTGAGGCCCAGGGGACCACGGGAGTCAGGGAATGGCAGGACTTTCCTGGCCTAGAGGCCATCTCACTCAGTGTGGAGGGCTCTGCACCCTGTCCTCAGGTGACTCCAGGTCTGTTGGTCTTGAGATCCATTTGAGCACCTTTGGGCTCCAGGTCCTAGTGAAGAAGGTTGTCTCTGTCACAGAAGCGTACCGCTCTGTCCCCCTTCCCTCCCTCTGCTTCCCAGCAGCCCCAGCAAAGAGCCTGGTTTCAGGACCCTGCTGAAGATGAGGGAGGAGGAGGCGAACCAGGCATTCTGCATAAATGCAGCCAGGGCCAGGCACTGCCTGTGTGGTTGCCACCTGGAGGAATGGGCCACCTTGTGATAGGACTCTTGATGATGGCATATTGACTCAGGGGAGGCATGGATCAGGTGCAGGGCTGGGCCAGGGGGGTCTGTGGAGGGCTTCCCTGGGCACCCGTGTCAGCTTTGGGTTGGCAGAGAGCCTTTCAGGAATGTGCTTGTCCTAGAAAGAAGGCCAAAGGGATCCATGGGGTGAGGGGAGAGGACTGTGGGTGGGCAGGCTAGTAGCATTTGGGAGGTCAGTGGCTGGGGAGGGAGTGAAGGTGCGGTCCAGGTCAGGTGGGCTGCTGGCCCTGGATCCGGCAGTCTGCAGGGGGCAGAAGGTGGGGGTGAACACACCTCAGGGATGGGGCTCAGCAGGGGTCCATATCAGGCAAGCTAAAAAAAAGATGGCCATTCCTGGCATCTGGCATCTGGGCAGCAGCTCAGGCACCCTGGACTTTGTCCCTGAGGGCCTTATGAGCAACTAAGGCCTTTTTTTTTTTTTTTCTAGAAGGGGATAAATAAGGAAGGACAGCATTCCCTGAGCCCTTTGGGCTGGGTGTTCCACCCGCGTGATGACACTTAGTCCATTAATACCTGGGGAACAGGTATCATTAGCACATTTAGGGCTGACAACTTGAGGCTCGGCAGGGTCTGAGGGGGTCAGGTCAAGGTGTGGAACCTTCTACTCTGCCTCTCAAGGTCCTTGGTGGGACCTTCACCACCGTGGCTCTGGTTGGGGTCCTGAGCATGCTCGTTTAGAGGGACTGGTGCATTGTAGATGAAACCACAGGCATGGGGAGCTTGCATCTGGAGGGACAAGGTGGGAACAGGGTGGGCATCCTGAGGAGGGGCTCAGACTCAGACCTTAGGGCTGAACAAGAGGCCTGCCCCAGGGAGTAAAGGCAGGGAGGCCCTGGAGGCTGGGAGGGCACAAAGATAGAAAGTAGATGGGGATGCCAAGGAAACCAGAGACTGGTGCTGTGGGTGTGTCAGGAAAGTGAGGGGCCCACGTGGACACTCAAAGGCCCCTGCAGAGCTGATGGCCTTTGGGCATCTGTCTTGTGTGACTTAGGCTCCCTCGGAAGGTCCTTTGGCCCTTCTGGTCGAAGGAGCGACCCGCACATTTTTGGCGACTATGAAACCTTCCTCACCCAATGCCGGACCTCAAACCCGCTCACCTTAAGACTAGTGTCTGGGGTTGGCTTTAGTTTCTGCAGCATGCTTGGTTGGAAGTGAGCCACAGTTTTAGCCTGAGGGCCACTGTGAGGGGCGTGCTCAGCTCTCAGGGCGCACAGGACACTGGTCCAACCCAATCATGATCCACTGCATCAGCATCCTGAGAGACAAGGTGGCCAGGGCAGGCCACTGTTGAAGAAAATACTTCAGAATGCTAAAAATTAGGAACCAGCATCCTCGATTGTGCTCAGGGCACCCACTGCCCGCTGGGCTGCTCACAGTGAGCCAACACCTCCTCAGGAGGACGGGCTTGAGGGCTGCCGATGGAGGCCCGTGAGTCTACTCTCTCCCTCTGGTTTCTGAGCCAAACACCCATTTTTGATAATCAAATTCAGCACTAAGAGCAAAGGGAACTCCATTGCTATGTGTCACCCAAGCTCTGGAATCCACAGGAGCTCTGGATGGCTTCTGACGTTTGTCAAATCTCAGGTTGCCCCAAATCTGTGTCTGCAACGTGCAACAGAGGGTGCACGCTTAGCGGGTCCCACCCCTTTTTCTTAAATAGGCCACAGGTTAGAAACAGGAGCCAAAACCTTTCCCTTTCTGTGGCCATTGCCGTTAGGGAAGCATTTGGTGTCTGGGTTTGCATGCTTTGGGGATAATGCCAGGCACCCATTGCCTAACCCACAGCTGGGTCTGGGGATTATTGGGACTTGGTAGGTCACTCATGTTCTGTTTGTGCTCAGAACATGACAAGTACGCTGGTGAGGACCACGCTGAGGAACGACCTGTCCCCTAAGGACATCATGCATCACCTGAAGATCGCGAGCCCCATCCATTGCGCCTTCCGAAACGACCTGCTGACATCCTCAGGCTACACCCCGCAGTGGGGGTGAGTGGGAAGGCGACCTGCCTCCTCCCCAGCCCCTTTATTTGGAGGGGAGTGTATCTTTAGGATTTCAACCACTTGAGACTCTTCTTTTAGCTCGAGGCCACAAACTGACAGTGACGAAGACGCCCGATTACTTTTTGTCCCATTCCAATTAACTAGAGCAGGCCAGATCTGCCCTCTCCCACCCCCCAGCCAATCAGCAAGAAGGCCCAGCTTCTAGGGAGCTCCAGGCCCAAGCCTCCTCCAGGGCACACCTGGGCCTCCCTCTTTCTATCATAAGTCCTCCTCCCTGCCTGCCTGCGAGTCTCCACCAGACAGGTGAGGTAGGCTGGCCCCTGGTGCAGCCACCAAACAGCCCCCATTCGCTCTCACCTGGGGGTCCTCACTGATTTCCACGGTTCCCTGGAGTTGCTCTGGGGGGAGGAACGGGAACGAGGGGCTGCAGAAACAAACCTCCTGACGGCTGCTCCCTCCTGCAGAGTTTACACCATCATTGAAGACCTGCACGGCGCTGGGATTTTTATCACTGAGATGCAGTTGTTCATTGGAGATTCTCCCATACCTCAAAATTGTAGTGTGTCTTCCAGTGACGACGTCAAGATTGAAGTGGGGCTCTACAGACAGAACAGCAACCTCAAGGTGGTCCTGACGGAGTGCTGGGCAACCCCCTCCAGCAATGCCAGGGATCCAGTCAGCTTTCGCTTCATCAACGACAGGTAGAGACTCCAGTGGTCCCTGTGCCTGCACCTCGCCTGGCCATGTCCTGCTGCCTGCTTTGGGCTCTTTGGAATTTCCAGGCAAACATTGGTCTGGACCTGGGTTTGGGGACTTGGTGAGGCAGTGGGTCCTCTGACTCCCATGGAGCCTTGTGAGGAGGCAGATGTGGCCATGAGCAAGTGCATCTGAGCACTGCCCAGCATGGCTAGTTCGCACTAAGTGGCCATGTTTCCCCTCTCAGCTGCCCCGTTCCCAACACCTACACCAGCGTGATCCAGAATGGCGACTCCAGCAAGGCCCAGTTCAAGCTGAGAATTTTCTCTTTCATCAACAACTCCATCGTGTACCTGCACTGCAAGCTTCGTGTCTGCATGGAGAGACCCGGGGCTCCGTGCAAGATAGTAAGTGTCTGGTGTCCTGGACTTCTGGCTGATGCATGTTCCTTGTTATTACATGGAAAGCCGCCCAGGCTTGAGGGACTTCTGGGCGGAGGCCCTGACCTTGCAGACTTGGTATGAGAAGTGATGTCTGACAGTGGCGGCCCAGGAAGAGGCTGCCAGAGAGCTGGTGGGCTATTTCATATGTGTTGATGGCTAAACAAGACCTTCTTGAGGCTACTGTTCACCTGACTGCCCTGCATCCCTGACTAAGCTCCCACAGTGTATCTCCCCTAGGTGACGGATTGAACCTTTAGGTCTAAAAATGTCACCCGAATTTAACATGGTTTTTGCACCATTGACAGAGCCTTACCAAACATCCCTGTGCTCAGCATCCACTCGGGATCATGAATAATGTCACATTCTTATTTCCCTGAGGTTTAAAAGCTGCTCCATGTACTGCAGACAAGTAGGCAAAGTGACCACATTTGGTCACATACTGTCTCAGACAGGGACTGGCTTTTCTCTCAGTGGCTGCTTGAGTCCCTTGTTTGGAGGATGCATCTGCTCCTGGTGCCCATCTGTGGGGGTGACACAGGCTTCAGTTTTTGCAGGTGACTAACCTCCCATCATTAGCAGGGTGTGAATGAGAGAAAAAAACACAATGGTGGCTGATTTGGTTGATGTCCCCTTTCCCTGAACAACAGGGACAGGTGACTCCCCATGACAGCTGCTGAGGAGTACACTCAAACGTGCATCTGGACCCATCAGGTCCTCAGAAGTAGTAAGAGGACCAGCAGTCACAGAGCTGCTGGCTATCCTGCTGTTTGCACTCTGACCCTGGCCTAGGCCTCCCCGGTTTCCTTGAGAACAGGCATTGCATTTCTAGAGCTTTCGGAATAAGGAGCCACAAACGGGGGGTTGAAGGCACAGGAACTCACTGTCGCACAGTTCCAGGTGCTGGCAGGGCCAGTTCCTTCCGAGGCTGTGCAGGAGAATCTGGCCAGGGCCTGGACCAGTGTCTGGTGGCCTCAGCCCCCCTGGCCTCATGTGCCGTCTGTGCATGTCTGTCCTGTGTTGTTTGCCCCTCTTTGTAAGGATTACGATTAGATAAACCATGAGGGATCAGGGCCCACTCTAATGAGCTCATTTTAACCTGATCGCCTTTCCATATATGGCCACAGTCACAGGTACTGGGATTCAAATCCCAGCATTCTTTTGGGGGCCACAGTGCCACCCGTTGCAGGTGTTCAGTGAGCAGGGTACACAATGCCACTGTGCCAGGCATCCATTTATGAAAGACAAAGGCGTTTGGAGGAGTAAATGACCTCAGTTGCCTTTGGACTGAGATTGAGGCATGGGCCAGACAAGAGGCCAAAGGGCCAGCACCTCATCTTGCTGCTCCATGTGTCCCCTCCTCCCCTCCCATCCCATGGGCAGCGTCCCACCTGGGTGGAGCCCACTGTCAAGGCCCTGTACTACTTGCCCTGTCTAGACTTATCCATCCAGTGACTTGATGCCCCCAGAGGACAGAATTGTCTTAATCAGGTGACAATCATCCCGGGTAACGAGTTCATTCCCCATAAACACCATTCAACTAATTTGAAGTTTCGCTCCTTTGAAAAAACAGAGCTGCAATGATTTTCGGTTGCTGAGAAGTGTTGAAGCTTCCGAGATACATCAGACGTCCTGGGGGCCCCTCATTCGGTCTGAAGGTGAGTCAGTGACTGGATTTAGAGAGTAAAGGACAGATCCCGTTTCCCCAGCTTGCAAACCTAAAAGAACTGCTTCAAAGCATGGACTTTAATGAGTTTCCTAGAAGACTCATGATGGTAAAAAGAACAGTGGCTAACGTACCCCCAGGGAAGCTCTTCATAGGTGGGGCAGAATTTGTTCCTCCAGAGACCCGGTGAAGAGCATGTACTGCCACCCCAATGCTGCTGAGCAAAAGCCAGGGCTTCCAGAAGTCAGGCACATGGCTGAGTAATGCAACGCGCTGAGCTGTGCTCTCAGAAGTCCGGGAACTTCCCTGACCCTGGGTGAGCACCTTGAGCTGTGTGAAGAGGAAGGGAGGGACCCACACCGCAATCAGGCAGCATCACATTCTCTGTGTGTGCGTGCATGTGTGTGAGTGTGTGTGTGTGTGAATGTGCAGGCATGTGAGTGTGCGTGAGTGTACGTGCGCACGGAAATAGCTGCTTCATTTAGAAGATACAAACAAAACAACACTTCCGTTCTCCCTCAATGCAAGACATCCACCAGACAATTACATTCCAGGCATTTTCAAAATCAATTTACCAGGAAAACACATTCTTTCCAATGTGATCCATCTGATTATTTTGAGAAAAAAAATGGGGACTTCGTGTAAAATGTTTGGGGAATTTGGGTACTAAGACAGAACTGCTAAATGTCCCCCAATTCCTGTCCTCCTTCCCTCCCATAGAAAGGAAACCCCCAGGCTTCGGCTGGCACATGCTGTCAGGAATAAAAACAATGGCTCCCAACATCCCTGGCGGCTAAGCATGGCCATAGGAGCAAATTCTGGCCAATGAGAGGTACAGGGAAATGGTGACAACTTAAGGGACACCGTCCTTAAATCCATCTGATGCCCTCCTTTGTCCTTCTCACTTTTTCCACTATTGTGCAGCCTGGCACGTGCATGAGATAACCACAGCCATTCAAGACCATGAGGACCCTGGTGGGGACTCTGCCTCACTGTGACAGTGGATGTGGGCAGAAGCACTGTGGGAGCCTGCAGGGTCTCACCTCTGTCCCAGCACCACCATAATCTCCCTTCTAAGGGACCAGCCTTGAGAGTTTGGGGCATGGGTGAGCTCACACAGCTGGTGCTGGGTTGTACAGAGCAGGCTGCTTGTGATTCACCCTTTCTCTTTGTCCCCAAGGGATTGGGTCACCTTTGTTGAAGGGGTTCCCTTCACCCCAGTCCTCCACGTATGGAAGTAGCCTGGGCTGCTGTAACAAAACACCACAGACTGGGTGGCTTAGAACAACAGAAGTGTATTGTCTCGCAGTTGTGGGGCAGAAGTGAGAGGGAGCCAGGCCCTGCTCCCTCTAAGAGGAACATCCTTCCAGCCTCTTCCAGGTCCTGCTGGCTGTGGCTGGCCTTTGGGTTCCTTGGTGAGTTGCTGTACTGCTCTGGTCTCTGCCTGCATCTTCCTATGGCCTCCTCGCCTTTGGTCTTGACAATGTGCCACACTCAGCCATAGTACACTCATGGGCCCAGGCCACCATCATGGCAGGTGGACAGACTTCTCCCTCAGGGCACTGGGGGACAGGCCAGGGGCTGCTGGCTGGCAGTGTAATTTTTCTTCAATGTGTGTGTTTTTTTTTAATTGAGGCAAAGTTCCCATAACACCAAGTCACCATGTTGAAGTAACAATTTGGTGGCATGTTGACAATACGGTTTAATCCCTACCCTGGTATAACTTCAACACATTTCATCCCCCAAAAGCAACTCCGTACCCATTAACAGTTGCCTTCATCTCTCTTCCCCAGGCCGGGCACTGCCAGTCTTTCTGTCTCAGGGTCATGTTATAGGTGATTCTTTGCGATTGACTTCTTTCCCTCAGATGATGTTTTCCAGGCACATCTGTGTGACAGTGTGTGTCATTGGAGCTTTAATCCTTTTCATGGCTGGATAATATTCTACTTGGCTTATCTATTTGTGTGCTGATGGATGTTGGGGCTGTTTGTACCTTTAGGCTTCTGTGAACAATGCTGGATGAACTTGGGTGTAGGAGTAACTGAGTGCTTGTTTTCTGCCCTTTTTAGGGTCTATACTCTTCTGTACTTTTGTTGCTTCTCCAGGCCTGGGGAAGGCCACTCTTCTCTCTGACGTGGATTGTGTGCAGGCCCAGTCTGCCTCTCCCTGGGGGAACCTGGCAGGGCTGTCCTGTGAAGGGACCCACAGCTCTCCACAAGCCCTACCTCTCGGCCAAGTTCATACCAGTACACTAGGCAGCTGAGCTGTCCTCTCTGCCTGCTCTCCTGGGCTGTGGATCCCTGCCTCACCATCTTTGCTACCCCACAGGGACATGGGCACACATGCAGGGCCTTCCGGCCACCAAATCTAGATCACTCTGTTAAGACACAGTGGATGTGTGCAGAGCTCACTCTGTTCTGGTCCTGTTCTAATCACACCCTTCTCCTACCAGCTTCACAGGGCTGGGTTGGCAGTGCCAGTCATTCATGCTGTCTGGAGACGATCTCTCACCCTGTCCTGTGTCACCCTACAGGTGTGTCGTCACGTGCAAAGTCAGGCCTGGGGGTTGACTACATCCTCCTCATCGTGGTGGCTGTCTTGGCTGTGGTGGTGGGGGCAGCAGTCTTTCTGATCGTGCGTTATCACAGAATGTCGGGGAAATACAACCTCAAAATACCATCAAACAACTTCAGCTACCACGTGTTCTATGAATAGGAAGCTGGCTGACCTAGAGGGTAAGAAGCGAGGGCACCTGACACCGGATCTCTCCTCTATCACCCATGGCAAAGGGTAGAGCAGCAGGTCATTTTTGTCCCCTAACTGTCATGCATGATCCCGCCTACTTCAAAGCAAGCACAGGTAGCCAGACAGGGGACTTGGTGACTGGTACCACTGTCCCCAGGGAGTCAGAAGCAGAGTGGCAGGAAGATTGAGGGGGAGGGGCATTGCAGCTGGATCCAGCAATCTTCTCCAAATCCTGGCTCTGCCACCCACTTGCTGGGTAGCGTTGGGTGAGTTCCTGAGCCCCTCAGAGCCTCAGTTTCCTCATCTGTGAAAGGTGTGTGACAACCGTCCCACTGCGTGGAGGGGGTCTGGGAATGAAAGGAGGGACTTCACAAAGCCTCTTATTTGGAGCCAGGCATACCCCAAATGCTGAATAATTCCAGCAATAGCTCTTGGTCGTATCCCCAAAGGCTGGTGCTGTCCTTCATGTCCTGGATGTGGTGCTCAGTCCACTGTGTCACCACCCTGCTCTCAAGACAGTGATGGATCTGAACATTCGGACGTTTCAGTATGAAGAGGGCGTTCTGATTTGTCACAGGACTTCTCTTTTGGGGGGGATCTGAGTATAGCTTACTTCTGCAGAGTGCAGCATGAGCACATGACCCACGCACAGCCTCCTGGCTACTTTAGGTCATCTGTACATAACTTGTAACGCCTAAGACAATGTGAACACCATGTAAGCAGTCACGCTGTGTGATTAGGGATAATGACCCAGAAAGTCAGTACACGTTCACGGCAGACCCGTTTTGTAAAGAATAGTTTTGATCCTCGGTTGGTGCCACCCATGGCTGTGGAGACTATGGACATGGAAGGCCACGGTGAACTTCTCCTTTTTCACTTGCAAACTCACCCTGGGCCCTCTTTTCTATGCAGGTCACCGTGAGTCAAACTTGGTTTTCAATTCATCAGGCATCAACAGGAGTCCATGCCACGCAGCGCTCTGTCAGCACCTGGAAGTCCCTGAGATGAGGACATTTGCCTCCATCTCCCCCAGGAGGCTGCTGTCCTGCAGGTCCCAGACCAGTGATGCCCATCAGGCAGGTGGCAGGATGGCTGGAGTTGTGGAGAGAGTGCTGACGGTGTCCCAAAAGCTCAAACCTAGCACAAACATGACTTCTCCCAAGTCACCTGCAGGACCCGGTCCTCCCGATGACCCCTGCCATCCAAGCTAGCCCACATGTCCCTTTTCCCATCAGTCAGAGCCCACACACTCTGTCAATCACGTAACACAACTCAGCTGCTGAGCTGAGTTGTCCAGGGCTCCCGAGCTCTTGAACAAATAGGTCCATCTTGTAAGTCCATTGCTAATCTTAGATTCGGTGCCCTTCTCACCCAGCAGTGACTTTATTAATATGGAGATCTTCCTAATAAGTGAAAACCATGTGACATACAGACGTCCGTCTTTCCTGTTCCCAAGCAGGTTCGCACTTTCCATATAATTCCACTGCAGGGAAGGCATGATTTACCCACACACCCCGAGAAACCAGACAAGGGGTGGATGACTTATGTCCTTAGGGTCACAAAAGTAATTCATGAGGAAATGTAAGTATTTTACTCTAGAATTTCCTCTGTTGTACCATGCTAAGAGATACTGATTTTTACTTCATTTGGAACAAATTAAAATTGATTAGGGAGCTAACACCTAAAAGTCGATTTTGCTTGATGAACTTAGAAATGTAACAGGGCCTTAGTTTTTAATTCGTGAGATTGATTTTGTTGAATGTAATCGACTGTCACCTGTACACTTTGCCTTAAGAATGACGACAAGTAGTGTGTTGATAGCTGAGCTTGAGCAATAAACTTGTGCTCGTGGCACTTCGGCGTGCCCGGCTGTGCCGATTCTCCATGTGGTTGTCACATCACGGGATCTCTGAGCATCTTCCCAGGTCCCTTGCTCGGCTAGACGCCCTAGGGAGACAAAGAATGTGTCTCTTGTCCTTCCTGAGTCACAGCCATCAGCTTTCATTTGTTTTTCTTGGAAAAGAGGTGTGAAAGGTTGAGTAAACTCAGGTGTTCAGCCCTATGACCGGGGTGGGGGGGGTGTCTTTGGATTTCAGATAAGTAGTGGATGTGTATTTTAAAGCCCTCCCTTTCAAACTTCATCTTCATTCTCACATAACCTCAGTCAACATGTGTCATTCACTGTGTGAAAACAGCAGAGATGCACTGGTGCATTTGGTCTCCCCTCCTCTCACCAGACCCACCCTCATCTGGTCCTTGACAAATGCTTTCTAAGCAATCACAGAACAGCAGGCCCTGAACTCAGTGCCGTGGAGAAGATGGTGAGAGAGCAGACTGAGCTCGGCCCTCACAGAGCACACGGTCTCGTGTGTGTGGTGGCAGGGGAGAGGGGAAAGACACTCAGATCAGTGGAAGATGGGAGCCATGGCAAGGGCTGAGGGAGACATGAGGCATCCCTGATCTGGTCAGTCCATCCATCCATCCAGCTACTCCTTCACCCAACGTTCATGCACTCAATCATCCATTTATCCATCTTTCTACCCACCCACCCACCAACTTGTCCATCCATCCATCCATCCATCCACCACTTGCTCATCTTTCCATCCACCTACTCATCTATCCACCTATCCACCCACCTCACCCATCCAACCCAGAAATGTTTATGGGGTCCCAGTTCTTACGCTGCCGTGGAGAAGACAAGAACAATGAGAAAGAGTCCTTGTTCTCAATATTCACAACCCCTCTGAAGAACCTCCCCTGTAAGCACTATGTGCAGTAAAGCTGGGGAGGCCTCAGGTGCAGGGAGGGCGAGAAGAAGAACGATGTTGAAGTATGCTCACATACTTCAACGTGGGAAGGCTTTGGGAGCTGGAGTCCTGGCTCAAGAGGTAGAGCGTTTGCCTAAGCATGGGTCATGACTTCAAACCCTAGTGACACCACAAAAGGGGGGAAGGCTTTGTGGGAATATGTTCAGTCTCTGTATAGCTTATCAACACAACCTTCCAACCCAGGCGCTTCTTGCTGGCATGGTTCAAGGGATTCAATGTAAAGAGTGTGAAAGCAGAAGGAGGAAGGGATGGCTCTTGAGTGTCCCCAATGCAGATGTCATCCCCTGCAGCCGTGCAGTGAAAACCCTGTGAGGCAGAACGTTGGGCCTTAGAGATACCACAGAAGGTCCCTTCACGCATGAAGGGGTCCTCAGGTCCTCCTGTCTGTGGAGGGGAAGACTGAGAGCCATGCACATGGCAGGTGTTCTCTTACCCGGCTCTCATAGGAGACCTCCAGATATGAGATCCTCTCTTCAGAGCTGAGGATGTGGAGATGCTATGCAAATTTTCCAGAGTCACATAGTTGGGATGTGGAGGAACTGGAACTGGAACCAAACCCACCTGGTTGTAAAGCCTGTTCTGTCCCTCTGCCTCCTATGGGAAGGGGAAGGAGGACCAATGTGGACCTTAGGATGCTGAGTTCCTCTGAGACGTGGAGCTTGGGCTCCCGAGGCTGGTGGCCCTTGGCCTGCTGTGGTTCTGGGTTCCTGGCAGTCCTCACAGCCAGACACCACCTGAGCCCTGACCTTCCTGACCCAAGATCCCAGCCTGTGACTCACTCCACATTGGAGGGTCTTATGGCGGCTGGGAGGGGTTCTGATAGAGAAGGGTGTAATGGAACTGGGGGGTCTGATGGAGGGTCTGATGGCAGGAGGTCTGATGGAGGTGAGTGATGATGTAGAAGGGTCTGGTAGAGGAGGGTGTAGAGGAGGTGAAGGTGTGACAGATAATAAGGGTTGGATGGAGGAGGGTATATTGGGGTTGGGGGTCCCACAGAAGTGGAGAAATCCTGGCTTTTAACACACCGGCTGGCCTAGGCTGCAGCTCTCCACAATAACCACTAGATGGAACCCTAAACCAGGACCTGTGTCTGGCACTAAGAGGCTCCTTTTGTGTCCGCTACAATCATAGCTCTGACTTCTCTTGTTCTTTATCTGAAATTGATCTGAGGCCTGGGGCTGTGTCTCTCTGGTGTCACCACCTCAAACCCACCTCCATTAAACTCCCCTCCATCACACCCTCACCTCCATCAGACCCTCAACAGCTCAGAAAGGGATGCTGATCTCTCATGGTAGGATGGATCTGTCATCCTCAGAGTGATGAGTTACAGTGCAGGATGGTGCTGGAGTGGGTGTACTCTGAGGCCATCACATATGGAATTCCCAAGGGAGGGAGCTGCCTTCTCCCCTCACCCCTCCCATTTTTAGGAGGAAAGAGCAGCTGACCGAGAAGTCCCAGCTCCTCACCTACACGACCAACTGTGACCTCCATCCTGGGCCTGGCCACACTGTACCTTGACCTTCATTCTCCCTATCTAAAGAATTTTTTTTGGCAGTGCAGGGGCTTGAACTCAGGGCCTACATCTTGAGCCACTCCACTAGTGCTTTTTTGTGATGGGTATTTTTGAGATAGGGTCTCGCAAACTATTTGCCTAGGGTTGGCTTTGAACCACGATCCTCCTGAACTCTGCCTTCTGAGTAGCTGGGATTATAGGCGTGGGTCACCTCCTGACAAAGCCCAGGTGTCTCTGCGGGGGCTGCCAGAGTCCAGCCCCGCTGGGAATTCAGCTTCTCATGACCAACAGCCTCCTGGCTGCCCTGGGAGCCCTGGCCGAGTATGTTACCATGGCAACCGGCATGGCAGCCGGTGTGGCCTCTAGCTCACAATGTCCACACACTGAGTTCAGGAGCTGCTTTGGGGAGAAACTGACCACCTGTCCTTCACTGGATGAGTTGGCCTGACCAGAGCGGGTTGGTTCCTCCCTGTGGGAAGGCCGTTCTGCTTTTTCCCCATCCTCTTTATCGAGGTCCTAGTGCTTTAACTTCCTCCCAACGATCTTCCCCACCCCAGGGGCTCCTGACACAGTGTTTCTTGGGACTGAGTCTTATTTCTAATGTAAGTCCTGTCCTCTGCAGGTGTGCT